TTCTGGAAATGAAGGAACAGAGAAGTAACCAAAATGCACAGGACTGCTGTTCATCATCAGGCAGGCTGATGCTTGATCTGCTTCCCAGGAGTTGTTTTCTTGTATGGGAGAAGGACAGAAGGGTTGTGGTAAGAAGGAAAGAGAATATCTATCTGGCATTTTTTTCCTCATCTCCTCCTGGAGAAGGAATAGTGTACCTGCCACGGAGTCTGGGCCTGGGGACCAACCGTAAGTCCTTTCAGAAGCAACGTGGCAGAGGCAATGGTGCTAAAGGACTGGGAATGCTCTTATACTATAAGGGAGAGTGTACCAGTAAGGAGCTGGAAGCATTAAATCTAAATGAGGATACTTCACCAGGAAGGGGAAACAGAAGAGACAGACACAGAATAAAGAAAGAAATAGGAAGAGCAAATAGATGAGTAGAGAAACTCCAGCTTCTGGATTCCTAGTCATTATGATTTCCTTACAGACTGTTACAGATTTTAGCAGTATGGGTGCTGATTTTGGGTCACCTAACAAAAAGGGGAGCTATAGACTCATAACTGATGCACTAGCCTGACTGTGGCTCTTGTTTATGCATGAGGCTTTCTTCCCTTTTTTCCTCAATCACAGTGTCAGTTTTGCTCATCTTCAGCAGCATTCATAACAGAATTAGTCAGACTTCCACTCAAAAGACATGTTGTTTAAATTAAGCTTTGACCAAAGAACAAATGGATTTAAAACCAGGAAAAAACGTTTCATAAAACTTTGAGAAGTTCAGGAAAGCCCCAAACTTATAAATTCCACACGTCTGATGAACCTCCCGTACTCTTGCCTGATCCTTTCCTCATCTCAGCCAGTGAAGGACTTCAGTGCCCTTGCTTTAATTCCCAGTGCCTTTAAAATAAAACAGAGCTTGTGCCTTAAACACAACTAAATCTTCCTATAGTTTGCCCTTTCTTTATTCAGAGCTTTTAATGTCTGTGTTTCAGTAATCACACAGAGGGTTCTGTAAACTGTGACAATACCAACACAGCATAGTTGGGATGTCCACGGGTCATCCGCAGGGCAGGTGTACCCTGGTAAGACACACTAGGAATTCCCCCCCGTTCCCCTGGCCAGATGCAGGATTGCTCTGGGGAAGGGGAGGATGAGCGCTGCTGTGGGTGGTGCACTGCAGCTTGCGCTGGTTGGCTGCAGCTCCCCTCGCACTGGAATATGCTGACTTTTGTATGTATGTGATAAATGTGTTTTAAGAATAGCAGTGATTTCTTAATCCAGTTTTGCAAGTACAAACAATTACAATGCCTTGTAAAATAGTTGCTTAGATTCTGTAGTCCCAATGTAACAAAGATCAAACTGCCTTGCAGCTTCTGTTGATCCCTTTTCTTCCTGCTTGAAGGAGGAGGGAAAGCAATACCAGAGTTTGAAATTTATATCTTAATTTCTTTATATGAACTTCTAGGAAAGAATGTCAGAAATAGATCCTACGATTTTATTCTTTATTAATAGATGGTAGTAAGAATTGGTGGCTTTAAACACAGTTGCTGTTTTGTGCTAGCAATTCAATATGAATTTTCTGACAACCCAGTGCACATTGAAATATGGAAAAAAAAGCGTTTTAGTTCCTCAGGACAGAGCAAAACAGTTTTTTCTTAACACTTTCTACATTAGTGATGGGATTTCTGGATTATGCTGTTCTTTTAAGACACATGGGAGATTAAATATTATATTGCTGTATGTATGCAGCTATGTTTCAGTTTTGAAAGGAAAGCATAGAATGACATTTAAGCTCTATATATCCAAAAGAACCCAAATCTGGATCTTCAGTTAAAACAAGAAATACACCTTAGTGTGGTATCCTCTTTTTAAACCCAATACCTCATGCGCAGTGCTGCAGTGGCATATGAAAACATGCAGAAAATAAATCAGCACAATGTGACACTGTTGGCAGGAATACCTTTTTGCGTGTAGAAGATAATCCCAGGACTGATCTGGCATATGCTGTCTGAATTGTCTTGCGTCCCGAGGGTGAGTTATTCTTCTAACACAAGGCTCAACATGGAAGGTGTTTACCCTTTTAAATTAGGGATTACAGAATCTACATACAAAACTACAGGGTAAAAAAGTGATGAAAATGTGTTTTGGTTTTTTTCAACTGGGATGCTATAATGTTATGAGTTCAGCTGAAATTGTATCTTTCCTATAGGTAGTGTAGCCAAGATCTGTTTCAGAGCCCACGGGTGGAAAAAACGAAGCCCTGTTTCTCTTCTTTCTCTGTTCCCTTATTTCCCTCCCATCTCCCTATTGTCAACTGAGGGAAATTGGCAATGAGGCTGCATGTGCGTGCACTTGGGTTGGGGCCAGAGGAACAACCCCAAAAGCCTCCTTCCTGCAGCTGCAATAAACAAGAAAGTGAAATGTAGTGTGTGCATATACTCAGCCAAAGAACTTGACATGAACATTTTAATTGTAGGGGTGTATTTTTACCTTTTTTCTTCTTTTCTAGAGTGCTAGCTAAGATTTTTCCTCTACAGCAAGCTTTTAAAATCCTGCATTGATTTTTAAGAGGGTTTTTCTATCGTAAGTAAAATACAGGACATGATTTGGATGTATTTTTGTAGGCCATTCAGTTATTTGTAGCCTACTATCTCTCTATTACTCAGATTATTTCCTTTTTTTACCAACCCTTTTCATAAGACTTCTCATTGTCTGAAGGCGGAAGTTTCCAAGCTAGTGCTGCCCAAGCTGAGTTTCACAAAAGAGTAAAAATGAGGAAATGATTACATGTATTTGAATTTTATCACGCTTTCAGTTTTAATAGCATTGGGACTCTTGTTGCTCTACCACATTTAGTTATAACCTCGAATTTCCTTATGGCTATGGGCAGTATAATTTGTCTGAAGGAGAAGCGTGCCCTGCCAGTGCTCCCTGAGGAGTGACTCCTCTGCCGCTGCGAAGTGCCGGGCTCATGGCGTGGGATAAAGCAGTTATATGTGCCATTGCCCCCTGCTGGAAAGCGCCTGGAATACTGATTTCTAGGTAAAACACGCTCCGCGACAATGTTTTTTCGCGGTTACTCAGGAATTCCTGTCGTGGTAGACAAGTTCTTCATCTAAATTGATGGGCCGTTTCTGCTTCCAAGATTGAAACTGCGCTTAGTAAATACATTCAAAGGCAGTATCTCAAAACATGCTGTGGTATTAAGACAAAGGAAGCTTAATTTTAAAACTAGAAGAGAACTGGAAGCTGCCTGAGATTTGTTTCATATATCCACAGTGGTCATCTTCTAAAAAGCATTTATGTGGCTTTTTCTTTACAATTCTCCATTTTGGCATAATAATAAGCACTCTATCAGGCCATAGGAGTTCAAATTCAAAACACAGGTGTAAAGGTGCAAAACTGTTATGAATAGTTACAAATGAACTAAGATTAATTGGCAGCCATCTCAAAAAATCAATGAGATTGATCTGCGTGTTTGCATCACACAGAAATGGTATCAGATGTCTGATGTTGGTCCAACTGGGTGTGGTAGTGGTTGCTGAACTGATGCAATGCCTTAGCTTTTAGTGATTAATGTAAAAGCAAGGAACTTAAAACACGTGAACACTGGATTAACAGCAGCTCAGCCAACAGTGAATGACTGAAAGGCATTGAATGGCAAATCATTAATTCAGCACATAGGAAGTACTACTTTCAGGATCTCTGTGCATTGTAGAAGGGATAAGGGATAAGACAGCAGACAACTCAATGTATCCTAATAATTATTTTTTTTCTTTTTTTTATAATATTGTAAATGATTCAGTATCTTTACAAAAATTTTCACTGTAAGTTTTGTTTTTTTTTTTTTCCTTCCAAAATATGATAATTACATTACTATCAGGAAGAAAACAGCCAAAGAACAGCTACAGTATCTCTAGTGAGAAGATGTCACTAGACTTGAAAATCCATTCTAACCAAATCTGCTGAAGAGAGGGGAGAGGATAGGCCTTTTATGCTGAAGTGAGGTTTTGGCATACAGATTCTGTACACTGTTACAAAAGCTGATGTGCTCAGAGTAAGAAATAATACAGGTCTCTGAGTGCAATCACTTATGAATTACAGATATCATTTGCTTTGTGAAGCAAGAGGCTGATGTGAGCTGTCTTTTCTCTTGGTAATTGAAAAGCAAGTATCTGGAGTAAGATACACAGAGCCAGTAACCATCCATAAATACATGCATAAGGTTGAAAACTATTCCATTGTTCAGAGGCGTGAAAGATGTGCTGAGACCTGGGGCCCCTTCTGTTCTTCTAGACAGAAGATGGTACAGAAGGACCAAGTGCAAGCACACTCACATGCCTCTCTGGGCTTTTACCACTGCAGGTGGCCCCACAGAACCTGTAGTGCAACAGGGCTCTGCCATTGAACATCTCACCTACTGCTCTTCAGTGGGTTTCTTGAAAGGGTCCTACAGCCTCTTCGTCTCTGTTAGGGACGAGCGTTAGGTCCCTGTGGTTTCTCTTTCACAAAGGAACATGTATATGAGTGTTCTGGTATGCTGTTTCTTTCACTGCCACTTTTCCTGTAAGGCAGCATAACTGGTGATGTTTACCTGGCAGTTACCTGCTTTACAGGATTTTTTGGTAAAATAACTCTTTGAGAAGATAGCTGCTGCTTTGGCCAGAAAGGAGACTTCTGTTTGTTTTAAGCAGCATCTTTCTAGCCCTCTTTAGCCCTGAAATTTATATCGGTATGTTGAAAATGATGGAGCACAGTATTTGTATTCGGGCAGCAAGTATTTCCTCCACTAAGAATATACTGGCATGTATGCTAATGCACACTTCCAGCTGTTTAAAATGTAAATGGACCTTGTGCTGGGTTAGCAAACAAGTTTGCAACATTATGGCCTTTACTGGCTTAAATCCTCCTTATAGTACACACCTGATTTTTAGCCTTCCTTGATATTAAAGTAAGTGCAATTGCCTTGTAAATGCCTTGGACTCCTTTTGGTGTGGGTTTCATGAATAGAGTATGCTTACTGTAGCAGCAGATCAGGTGCCAGTATTTCACCTAGAAAACCAGTCTCCTCGAAGCCCAGCCTGTTGTGAGAAAGTGAAATAAATCAGTTTATTGTAAACAAACTTTCAAGCTGTTGCAGCAAGATCAGCTAAATAAGCAGAAAGTCATTTAGCCTTTTTTGTGTGCATCAGAAGCTGAGTAACTGGGGTTCTGATCAGTTGTGCTGGTAAATCACTTTCGATGCTAATTCAACATAGCATGTTGCTGAAAAACAGAGCTGGCATTAAAATACTTTTCTGCATTAGATGATGGATTGTGTTTTAGAACTGTATTGTGCAAGTTGGGCACAAAAGTTAGTCTTGACTTCATCATTATTTCATCATCTATTTCAGACTTATTGAACTTGATTCAAACGAAATGACAGACTTCAAAAATAGGTTTTAGAGTTCCTTTCGAACTTCATGGATAAAACCTGGAATATGCAAGTTCTTATTTCAGGAGAATGAACAGACTTTCTGGAACACGGTTGTATATTTGACAATGGTTGATTGATTGATTGAAATGAATGTTTTTTTCTTGTCTGTGTCAGTTCTATCCCCATATGTTTGTAACTGTTAGGTATCTTTTCCGAGTCCTTTATCAAGAACAAGCCTTACTGGAAATGTAGCTTTTAGATTTTTCCAGTTCTCGAAGACCAGTTTTTTAATGTGGCATAGCTCAAAGGAAATGGTTGGTCTGTGATTGCCTGATGATGAAATTTAGTCAGTGAAGGTCTTGTGATATCTTGTCGAAGTATGCACAGATTGTAATTGCTTCCTGGCAGTGGTCAAGGAAGTGATTTATATATTAGAAAGCATCGCCAGAATGGAAAGGGAGATGTGGTGGCCTGAGCTGTAGTGAAGGGTCCTGTAGTTTTGAGAGCAGAGGTGCCAAGCTCAGCTGATGCTGAATGGTGAGGCAGAAGTGTAGATAAGAGGCCAGATACAAAGTGCCTGCAGCTGGATGTTGACTCTTGTACTCAATGACAGGCCAAACAAACAGCAAAAGTCTCAGGAACAGAGACACAATTTCCTGATTCTACTCTCACACAAACTGACTGATCTGTGCAGACCAGATCAAACACCTGGGTAGATTCCCTCAGTTTTCACAAGCCTTTCTTGTGAGGAAAGAATGTAAGTGTGTATTTTCACAGGTAACTTGCACAGTTGCTGCCAAATTCACTTTAGCTTGGCTAGCTTCATGTTATGGGTGCACTCATTGCTTAGAGGGAAGAAGAGAAAGACCACAAGAACTGTCCAGCTGGATTAAACCAAGGGTCAATATAATTCTCTCTCTGAGTAATGGCAATATGAGAGGATAATAAGAAAAAGATGTTTTATAGAGTGAATTTTGAGTGAGTAATAAGAATTCCCTGAGATGTTCTATTTTTCTCTCTGATATTCCAGAGAATGGGTAAAAGGTCTGGTTCAAGGGGGCCACAATCACAGAAAAAAGGACAAATCATCAGACCCACTAGAAATGTTTGCTCTCACCATTAAATCTTAGCTCCAAATTTAAATTTCCTGTGCTGTGTGTTGTACTAACTTGCAGAAATGAGCTGGAAACTCACTGGGGAACAGCTGCTGAGCTGCTGAACAAATTTCCTGCTCCTGCTGCACAGAAAGCATGTGTTACAATGGTATGAGTAGACTTTGTATGGCTCCTATACTTGAATAAAGGCTGTTAAGCTATTTCTGACAAATCTAACCCCCACTTTGTGTCTTTCATGGCATTTTAAGAGAAAATATTAGTGAAGGTTCCCCATCTTCCAACCGGAAAGAAAATAGAAACACATTCTTCTGAATTGCTGAGTCACTCTGACACTCGGAGCCAAAAGCTGATGCAATTCATCTTTTATCACCGGAAGATCTCTTTGCTAATCACGGACACACCTCTTCTTTCAATAGCTTCTGTAAGGGACTGCTGATTCCTCAGACTTAACCTGGCGTGTACAAATCACAGTTCTGTTTTCTAGCCCCATTCTCTAGGAATAAAGGTTTAAACCTTTATTCTTTCTCCATGGAATTGCAAGGTGGCTTATGCACAGAAATCCAGAGCAAAAGCACATGTAAAACATGGAACGCTATTCTAGTATTTTAATGTGTATTTAATTCTTAACACTGGTTAAAAGTCTTACTTTTGTGCTGCTCACACAATGGTCTGTTTTTAATTGTAGCAGAAATTGTTTGAGCTTTAACTGAGTGGAAATACAACCAACAAATTCTCCATTTTCAGTCACTTCTCTGATGTCATACATAATACCAGACTGTATCATCACAACTAAGCGATTTCTGTAGGTGACTAATATAATGTTTTGTTACCAATGGAAGGACCAGCAATGCTGTTTCATTCACTTTCTGTCACCAGCTTGATTAAGGAGAGGTGATGCTGTCCTAAGAATTTTAAGCTTGACCTGGTGAGAATTGTAACACAAATTTTGCTAACTTCTGCATCAAATGAAGAAGCCCAATGTTAGCAATATGTTCAGCTGGCATTTCAGTTGTCTATAATATTAATTTAAATGAAAAATTGCAGGCACTTGCAGGAGAGTGAGAAAAAGAAGAGATCAATGTATTGCTTCTTTTACTGTTAGCAGCTCTCCAGTTGAAGAAATAATTGATATTCCTTCTTCCACACCCTTCTGCCATAATTATGTGAAGAATCTGGATTATGCTTCCGACTTGATTTAACTGTTTTATAATAAGTCACAAGCATACCTTGCCTACTTGATGATATTCCTTTAAGGCTGTGCCAGTCTTTCCATTATTAAATCATGTTTAGTGTTATATACTGGTTGCTTAAAAAAAACCGAACTCACTTCAAGCTTGAACTTGCTATGCATTCTCAGCTAGCCATATGTGTGAGGGAGCACAAAAACCATCAGTGCTACTCAGCAACTTAACACACTATTTTTCATTTAATGGGAATTTTGGCTTTTCTTTAAAAATATGGAAAAAAATATCCTTATGAGGGCTTCAGTGTTAGTGGGGAGAATAAGCATAAAAATGATGAAGATCTGCATTTTGTGTATATGGTCTACGGGCTGCCCCTACACGTTCCTTCCTTCCCAATCCCCATCATAAATCTGACCCATTTGTAGAAATTTTGACTTTTGGTTTGAACAGGAAGCAAGCAACTAAAAAGGAAGATGTGTGTTGACAGTAGGAAGCAGTGTAGTTTTAAACACAGCAGTTCCGATACACACAGGGGTACAGGAGGCCCAGTCACCACCCTGCTACTCTCCTGACTTGTTTATCTGAAGTTCAGGATTTGAGGAGAATTGAAAACAACACTGGGGCTTTTTGTGACCTTTCAGTTACCAATTTTCCCTGGACACCACCCACCCCTATATCCCAGGGAAACCCAAAGACTTTGCCACTTGGTATGACTTGAGCAGTCCATGGAAATTTTTAGTATGGAATGCTGTTTGTGTTGTAGAACAGGGTAGAGACTTCTAACAACTGAATTCATTTTTGGGGAGCGTTCAGACTGGAACACAAAGTCCCTAAAGGGTCACTGTGGAGAGGTCATAGCTGGTCAGGGTATTTGCTCCCCTCCAAGTTTTATACATTATCTACTGAAGGTCAAAAATAAATGTTGATCTGAAATGCTGGTGCCTCAAGATGATGTACTAAAACATGTCTGAAAGAGTTATTGTAAGGATAGTAAAATTCCTCCTCCTGGCTTTGTCCTGAATACCAGGTAACTTCATCCAGCAGCTCCATTTCCCAGTATACTTCTGCTGACTCTAGTAACATTCCAACTCTAGTAACATACATTTTTACGCTTTCAGTCCAAGTGACCTGGTCTGTAGTCTTTCGTGGACAGATTTATCATTTACTCCCCATTTTCCAGAACAGATGATTGAATTCAAGTCTTTTCATTCTTTCAGTTTTTATTATCTGCTATACATAAAGAGAACTCAGCCTACTTAAGCCTTCAGTTTGGGGGGTTCTTTTTCCTCGAGGGAGAGGAAGGGCACCTTTGGGGTGGTTTTTTTAAACCTGTTCTAGGCTTTTTCTGCAGACAGAAAGAGGTAAGATAATAAACTCATCCTAATATCTCTTTGGAAGGTGCATTTATTCTATTGGTAAGTCTGATACTCTGAACACCACCCTCGCATCCAAGCTCTCAACCACGAACGCATCCTGTACTGATTGCTGCTATGTGCAACTGCCAAGTGGGCTCTTATCTCGATACTTACTAGGCTGGGGACTGCTTAATCTCTGAGATCAGGGAGACTTATTCTGATGTGGCTGCAGACTCTAGACAGCTAAATTTGCAGAAATCCACTGAAGGCAGTTTGCTTTTCAGAAGTTGCTGAGGGCATAATTTGGCTTTTTGCAGTTTGAGGGTGGGCTGTTTAACCTGAACAAGTTCCAGCTTGCTCAATTGCAATTTAGCAATATATTTTCCCCATACTCGCTGTGTTCCTCCCAGGAGATGCTTGCACCTCCTTGATGCATGAAAGGATACTTGTATTTAATGTGCATATTAAATACGTCTGTAAAGTAAATTCTCACATAATTTTACATTTAAAAGTACTATTTGAGGTGTGTGTGTATATATAATTGTTAGATGCATGTATAGAAATAAAACAGTCTTTGCTCTTCCCTTTTGTACCTCCTCAAGACATGTAATCTACAAAGCAGGAGAATTGCATGATAAAATGTGCCAGAGTGGAATGCATAATTATTCCAGAGGAGGGTAAGTCAGTTCAGAACTTGTACTAACATTCTTAAGGGCAGCAGGAGTCTTCTTGCCATGAAATTACATCAGCTCTCTATGGCCCAGAGTCAATGCACATGCTTTCCCTTTCTAGTAAAGAAAAAAAAGGTGTGAAAAATGCTAATGTCTTCAAAAATGTACCATAGAACAAAGCTGAGTAAACGAATATGTATTCCAGTGTGGTGCTCACCTGTAAGTGAACTTGAGTTGAAGAGATTGAGACATTGCACTTTTAAAACAACCATTTCTCTTTTAATAGATTAAGTCATGACTTGCAAACAGACAAAAAAAACATCTAAATAAGAAAAAGAATGCTTCCTTGATCCTAGTTCAGAGACATTCCCCTAACAGGTGGGGCATAGGCCTTTAAATTACAGGTCTCCTCTATATACCCAAATTTGTTACAATTCCATCAAGCAATGAGAAAAGCCATTTCACAGTAAACAGCAGTAGAAGCGGCTAGCAACACCTATTTTCAGGGTTGTTAGAAGATGAATAATAGTTTGGTTTGGATTGTGTAGTCACAGTATCAGAGGGAGAATCTGTTCATCTATATGAAAACACTACTCAGTTTCCTAGGAGTCTTAGGCTGAAGCATAGAGCACTTACTGCTACCTAATACACCTAAAGTGTCACCAAGGCAAACACTCAACAAATGCAGCTCAGCACAGTTCTGACTTACTGTCATTTCCATGGAGTAATTAGGCCTGGCTCAGCAAGTGGATAGGAAGTGCTAATTTCCATTTCCTCACAAGGAGAGGAGAGGAGCATTTCCTTTTTCTTGAACAGAATATCTGGCACTTAGAGCTGTTTGGTGGATCCATTGTGTGAGACAAACCATATACATAGACTGCAAGCTGATACGGTGGCTTGGCAGCAGAATTTGTTTGCACACTACATTCTCGTGTCAGTCTCTTTAGTAGCACCCCATGTTTCTTACTGCATGAGACCAGTGGAGTATGTGGTCTCAGGCTAAGTATGACTGCAGGAAATAAGTGTATGTGGGGAAAACATGCCTAGAGATCTATCCATGCTCATGACACTATTGTTAGTGTGAGTTGCAAAGAAAAATGTGCAAAAAGCAGAGACTCCAGCAGTTTGGCTTGAACCAGCCAACACTATGAAGTATTCAGTGATGATAGATATAGTCAGGATAGTAATCTACTGTTTAAAGGGCCCATCTGGAAGATTTACATAATCATCAGTTGGAGAGATCTGTACATTAGATCTCAAGTCAGAGCACACTTGGCAAGTGAAGTATTAGCTTATGGCATTCTGCACTTAGTGAAAGGATGCTTCACCCCATATTCTTTCTTTGTGTTAAAAATTCCCCCTAACTTTAAGGGAGGAGGCATCTTAAGAGTGAAGCTGCAAGATGCTCACGTCTTATTACAGCGGGGGGCAGTGAAATACATATATCCTTCTCTCACACCAACACCTTTTTCTGACTATCTGAAAAAGTTTTGCTCAACAGCTCTGGTTTCCACAAACAAAATTCCAGGAAATGTAAATGGCAGAATTGTAAGTGAAAAACTTGAGGGGTAGAGGAAAAGAAGCATCACCTTCCCCTGGTTTTCCTTAGCAGCAGGAAAAAGCCTAACATTCATAGTAATTCTGCAGGTAACCATCTTCAGTGTTCTGAGTTACAGTAAAATCAAACCCACACGTTAGGTTTAGCTCCAGTCTCCAAAGGGCACACGGCATGTTAATGAGGAACAGCTCTTGTCAGTTTTAGTCTCATGCATCTAAAGCACTGTCTAGAGCTTCATCAGTACTGCAGTAATTCTGTAAGTGATGGAGCAGACCTATCTGTAAATCCCTACACTAGATCACCTCTTAAACCAAGCACTTGTAACAGACTTCTGAGACAGCACACAGCTGTCAAAGTGGTCAAGTACCAGCCCACACACACTACTACTTCTTGCTTTCATTTCTCACCTGGATAGACACAAACTCTTTTTACCTGTCTCGGTGCTTTTAAAATCTATGCAATCTTTTACAAGCTCATTCTTAGTTAAGAACAGTCAACCTTCAGTTTTGTGCTGCTTACTGTAACTATCTTCATGGTGTTAGGCGGTATAGAGCAGTGTAATGCAATCATGGCAACTCACAATCTTGCTTTCGAACAAAAACCCAGCTACTCCTCCAAGCTTACAAATCCTTAAAGTAGCATTTAGCTGATTGGGATTCGCCAGGAAAACAGGCACATGTGAGAAAAGTAGAGATAGTTAGGAGGAGAGCAAAAATGCTAACAGAAACCATGTGCAAAGAGTTAAGCTCCCAGTTAATCCCTTCTCATCTTGCCAGGTTAGCTTACATTTTGCCCAGTTTCTGTTACCATCCATCACTCCTATAGAACAATGATTTAGTTATAAAGCCAGGTACCTTCTCCTCCATAATACATATACTGTAGTGGGAAACTTAAACGTCAAGTAATGTGAAGTGAATTGCTTTTTAAACACTGCAACCACCTTTGGAAGTGCTGAGCAATGCCACTGCTAATGGAACTCAAAAACCCAGCCCCAGTAATCCCAGCAAAAAATACAGGATCTGTTGATTCCCCTTTCCTCCCCCCCCAAGTGATCCTGTTTCTAATTCTTTGTAGCATGATCTGTGGGGAAAAAAGTTTTTCCTTTACTCCTGGACTATCTTCAAGTGAACGAGGGGGATAGTCTCCCTGTTGTCTTATTTTATATGTGAAGAACTCACTTGATACTTCAGACATTATTTGCATTCTTTCTTGAGGTAAATTCTGAGCTGCAAGACTCTAACTACAGAGGAGCAAATCAGGGTTTCATGATACTTAATGGAAACTAGCATCTCGAGGCAGAATATTCTTCCACAGAAAATGAGGATGAATTAGAGGAAACAAACCTCAACATTTTGCAGATTTGGCCACTTATTTACATGGCTGAATATGCAGTTGGAAAACTAATTCTGAGCTTTAGGTACCTATTTTGAAACTCCTGAGATTTCAAAAACTCCTTAAAAGAAAAGAAGGAAAAATTTGCTTGTTTGTAAATGTATGGCTAATAAAAAAGAAAAGCAGAGCTCAACTAAGTTGCCTCTTAGTCCGTGCTGTAACGGGTACATAAAAGGAAACTCAGTCCCAACTCCTGGCACCTGGTGCCACTGTAGATCACCTTTGTATATTTCCTGCCTTGCTTCCAGCTGCCATTTTGGCATAGCCCAGCTCACCCACAGATCCCATATCATATCTGCCAACCCTTGTGTGGCTATCTTGGTTACCAGGATAGGCATCATGATACCAGATCTAAAAAGGCATTAGACAGCAATGTTAGGACTTACTCAGCCACCTGCATCCTACCCAGCCTCACTGGAAGCTGCTGTTGATGGACAACTTGCTGGGAAATTTATTTGTAGCATTCATCCAAATACTGGCAAGAACCAAGTCAATGCACAACAATATGCACTGACATTTTCCCTTTTGGAAATAGGAGCTTTTCTGTACGTGATCTGCTCACTGAGACAACATTGGCTCAGAGAAGTGACTTTGTTCTTGTGGAGTAGGAAGTATACAAAGTACACACAATATTTACAAAGTACCTTAGTACTATTTTGACTAATTTTGACTGGAGAGTCAGTGGTTGTTTCAAAGCTAGATTAGTCACTCTGTCCGTAATTACAATCTCTTGAAATCTGCTTCGGTGTTTTGAATTGGCTTCAGGCCTAATAATGGTCAGAAAATGGCTCCATCTCAGTCTTAAGACTGAACTTACAGGATTTCATATTTTCCTGATTTTTAAGTGAAAGATAAAAAAGAAATGGAGTGCTGTGCATAGAAACCTGTGGCATCCTAAGAAGCATCCGCAAGGAAAAGGTGCACATGAATATAGACCTGATGTTCCTAGGCTTATGCTCCTGAAAAGGAACAAGAACAGACACTCCAATTATTTCAGTTACTATTTGTGCAACCTGAGAGAGCACTCTATTGGATAACTGGGTATTTAGTTTGCACATGAACTCCAAGGACAATGATCTATCTAACGAAGTAAGACAAAACGGACAATAAAACTTCTGAATAGACTCTTCAGAAAACCTCATTTTTCCTGATTAGTATTGTGAAGATATGTTATAGATTGCTTAGAAATGTCTTCACCATGAAACACTGCATAAGGAACACAAGCATGCATCAGCTTGCGTGTGACACGCTTTAGCACGCTTGGAGGTACAAAGAAGTTTTGGCATTGTGGAGAGGCAATGTGTTATGTACATTGTGTGGGAGGATACACCATGCAGATTTGGTTGCATCATCTTGCTCTCTTTTTTTCTCCTCTTTCTTTCTTTTTTTTGTTCCAGATGGTAAAACAAAGGCTGTAGTGAAACCCATCCTCTCCCAGGAAGAGGTGGGAGGGAATTTTATAGGAGCGAGAAACTTTGCCTCAAGTCGAAATCTGGGGCCTGCACTAATGAACTACCTGTAATTCATATTGTACTCAATATTGCTGAAACTAGGCATGTACTAATCCTGAACCATGCCAAACTATGCATAATTACCATGCTTTCTCTGTGGCAGTAATTAATTTGCGTTAGCAACTTTGATTAATCTTTCTAATCTAAAAGCAAAGCGCTTCTCAGACATGAAAGGCTCTGTAACTGCACAGGGTTGTTATTGTAGCCCAGTGAAGGGTGTTTCGAGCCGACGGGGGGCAGGAGGGGAACAACACTTAAAAAAATCAAAGTATAGCTGGTATTTATGAACTAAGGACAATTATTAAGAGTTAATGCATTCTGTTTTGCCACAGAATTCACTGTCTGAAATACAGGCTTCTGGACACAGTACACTCCTCCTGGAAGAAAATGGTCATTAATTTGTTAAGAAGGCTTCTCTGAGGGCTGTTCCACAAAGATGAGGGTTACATGCCAAACAGAGAGACTGAGATTCCATCTTCTAGAGGGCAAGGCTACGTATTTAACGTTTGTGATGTTGCAGTGCAAACTTACTCATATATTCATTTTAGTCTTAACCTGGAGGACAGCATTGTTCTAGGCATGGTTGTTCAACTGACTCAGTCCTCACTGCCAGTCCAGAAAGGGTGTCAGCTGGAGAGTGATTTGGACATGCCTGCTTTTCAGGAAATATGGATGCTAACATCATTAACTTAGTCTATGTTGACAAACAGAGAGCTATCAGATGCTAATGTACAAACTAAATTCTGACATCACTGGAGATCTAAGTTTCCATCCTTCATTGCCAACCTCTTGGCCCAAGCCACGCTCTTTGCCCAATGAAACTAAAGCTGCTGAAAGGCTTATGTCATCAAGTGGTGACTGTGATTTACCTAGACTTCATAAACTGTCACATCCACCAGAGGTAAAATTGCTGAGGCAAATAGATGTGGCTCTACAAACCCATTACAAATACTACAGGGGTTTTAAGTGCATATTGTGTTGCTTGTTTTCTCCCTCAGACATGCTAACATTACAGTAATTTTACTGTGGTTCCCCTGTGAATACTGCTGCATGTAATTCATGATAGGCAGAATGACATGATGATCGTTTGGAAATGGATAATCTAGAGATTAGTAATGAATTTCACTTAGATTTAGATTAGTTTTAAAGATTTGCTGCTATTACTTTCAAGTGTGGGATCAATTCTGTTTCAACAAGTGAGAGAAGCATTTTTAAAATACATAACTTATTAGAAAATGTAAATGTGACTCCTGGAATTTTTATATATATATTTCGTGCTGATTCAAAAAGGGAATTATTTGTGACAGTTTATTCTCTTATAGTGGTGGTTTGTGTCCAAATATTTTATAATCATAAATCTACCCTTTGGTACCAGTCAAAATAGACAATATACAGTGGTGTTGAAACAAGCTTTGTAGAAGACGTATTTTTAAATCAGGCATGGGACTTTACATTTATTAGAAGGTGTTCACAAAAATAAGGGTAACATCATGCATATTCTTTGCAACTAAACCCAGTCATGGTTACAATTTGGAAATAAATTTAAATAGACATATGGAGATACAGTAGTACATATACACTCTATTTAAGACATTAAGTTAGTGTACTGGTAACTCTCAGCAATACATCAGAAGTCTACAACCAGCTGATGGAAAGATTGTATAAGGAGGAAGAAACTGCTTCAATTTCTCACATTATTTCTGTGGCTTGACAAGAATGTCAGTGTGAATTGCCTCCTAAATTTGGGAGGCAAGAACAAGTCAAGACTATCCTTTAGCAGTACAAAACATTTACACACAAAATACACATGCATTGCAATGCATTGGGAACGGTTAAAGCAAGGAGAACCCCATCACTCAGTGCTTTATTAACACAGTTCTACAAAGGAGTCTCAAATAGGATTATATAGTCACAGTAAGGCCACAATATTACAATGGATAAGGACCTCAGAATTCAGCATTCTGTGTTAGCAATAGAACCCTTCCTTCTTTCTAGACCTTTCTACATGTTCCTGAATGGTATCTCATCAGTCCTTCTATTTTTTTAGCTTTTTTTTCCTGTAAGTTTAACATATTGCTTAATACAACAGTTAGCACAGTAGAGAAAGGTACTGCCACAGGGAGAACAAAACCTAGGCAACATCCACAGAGTTTTGAGACTATATGCTGGCTGCGTTCCGCTGGAGCTGGCTAATCAGAAAAAAGGCTAGCAAAGGATTTCCTCAAGTTTCGAATAGTTTCAGCTTTTGCTTCATCTTCATTCACAGACGACCGGAAGAAGGATGATTCTGTGAAACTGAAGGCATTTGTCAAAGACTGCGACTTGCTGCAAGACAAAAACGCAACAAGTTTTGCATGGTCATATTGTCTATGCCCACCCACATGTAACTTGTGTAAGTGATGAGAAAAGGAGCAATGCCCGTAAGATTAGTGTGCTTATGAACAAAATGCATGTCCAGCACAAGCAGTATAGTTAGCAGCATACTAGCAGTATAGCATACAGAGCTGCTGCCACACAGCACCTTCCCTCCACACTTTGAGTTGAGAGGCAGGATAACCTTTCCTTTAGAGAACACACTGCTTTTCTTACAGACCTGAGATACTGTATGCCAGTAAATCGGATGACGTGGATTAGTACTTGAGAAAAAAGTGGGCCTGCCTGCTAAACCCAAATCACCGCCCAACACAGGATGATTAATACCTGTGTTCATTGAGGCTGCAAATAGTTATATCCAAAGAAAAATCATATATATATTGGCAAGAGTTTGAAAAATGAATCCTGAAGTTGTCATGTGCTCTGTCCATATATGTGTTTGATATCTGAACCTTCATGGAGACTTAATGACACTTTATACCTTAAAAAAAACACCCCAAATCAGATACAGTTTTGCTTGTCTATAAGCAGCTAGTCTAGCAATGCTATTTGTGTTTTGGTGCTAGCATGTAACGATGGTCTAAGTTTCTGTAAACGTGAATCAAATAAGATACAAGAAAGAAAATACCTGAAGCTTAAAACCTTAACTCCTGACTTGTCAGATAAAACAATATTTAAAAAGTAGGCTTGAATTTAAATAGAAAACATTAATGAGCTATAATCTTTTTACCAAGGCACCCATGC